GAGTACATGGCTAGTTTTTTTGAATTGATAACGTTTTCTACCTTGTATTTTTATTTTTAAAAGGGTGTAATTTAGTATTTCCTAGACTTTTTAGTATCATGTTTTACCTAGTCTGTTGAATTGATAACGTTTTCTATGTAGTATTTTATTTTTAAAGGGGTGTCTTTCCTAGAATTTCCTAGACTTTTTAGTATCATGTTTTGCCTAGTTCGTTGAATTGATAACGTTTTCTATCTAGTATTATTTTTTAAGGGTTCTTTCTAGAATTTCCTACTTTTTTTGTATCATGTTTTACCTAGTCTATGAATTGATAACGTTTTCTACCTAGTATTTTATTTTTAAGGGGGTGTCTTATCTAGAATTTCCTAGACTTTTTTGTATCATGTTTTTGCCTAGTCTTTTGAATTGATAACGTTTTCTATCTAGTATTTTATTTTTAAAGGGGTGTCTTTTCTAGAATTTCCTAGACTTTTTTTGTATCATGTTTGCCTAGTCTTTTTGAATTGATAAGTTTTCTACTAGTATTTTANGAGAGCGGGAGGGAGGGGGAGGAATGAGGTGGGCAAAGGCGCAATACTGAAAGAAGGGAGGGAGAGGTTAATCTGTTTCTTGTGTTTTGATTCTTTTTTTTTGGTTTTTTTCCTTCTTTTTCTTTTTTTTTGTTTTTGCTCATTTTTTTTTTTTTGGTTTTTGTTTTTTTTTGTTTTTTTTTTTGTATTCTATTTCTTTTCACTTATACTATTTTTCGGTCTAATTTATTCCATCAACTTATTTTCAAAGTTATTTTCTGGTCAATCTAACCCAGTCCGTGTAAAAGTTAAACTATGATGTTTGGATGTAAGACTATAAATATAAAATATTGTGTGTGTGTGTGTGTTTTGTATGAGTGTGTATGAGTGGTGTGTGTGTATGTTATGTGTGTGTGTGCGTGTGTGTGTATGTGTGTGTATGTGCGTGTGTGTGTGTGTGTGTTTTGTATGATGAGTGTGTTGTGTGAGTGTGTGTGTGTGTGTGTATATGTATGTGTGTTGTGTGTGTGGGCGTGTGTGAGAGAGAGTGAGAATGTGTGTGTTTTTTGTATGAGTGTGTGTGTGTGTGTAGTGCGTGTAAATATATCATGTATATGTGTACATGCGTGTATGTCTGTGTCTATGTGTTTTTGCGTATTCAGAACGAGAAAGATATTTTTCTTTTTTATTCCTGAGTCCCCCTGGGCGTTGGAGGCCGACCGGTAGATAGGATGTTTTGGGAGAGAGAGAGGAAACGCTCCTCTAATTATGAAAGACGAGATCCAACTTCTGATTTATCGTTCCTTCCAACGAAATTCCGGGAAAAGTCTCGTCATCATTCACCTCAACGTTTTTTTCTTCTTCTTCACATTTCTCTGCGATTAATTAAAGACAGTTCAACAAAGTTTTTTGGTTAGGCCAGTCGTTGGGAGTAAACGACCAAAAATGAAAAGGGAATCATTCATCTATATATATGCTATATATATATATATATATATATATAATATATATATATATATATATATATATATATATATATTATATATATATATATATATATTATATATATATATATATATATATATATATATATATATATATATATATATATATTATATATATATATATAATATATATTGAGAGAGAGAGAGAGAGAGAGAGATAAATAGATAGATATAGATATATGTACATACATACATGCACGCTAAAACACTACAATGTTTGTGTTTGTGTGTGTGTGTGTCATATAGATAGATAGATAGATAGATAGATAGATAGATGATAGATAGATAGAATAGATAGATAGAGGTATAGATAGAATATAGATAGATAAATGTATATATATAGACAGATACATACATACATACATACATTACATACGTACATAGATGGATAGATAGATAGATAGATAGGGATAGATGGACAGAAAGATAGATTATAATTTTTTTTTTTTTTATGAGAACCGATTTTACGTCCAGTCCGAGTGGATGCTCCTCTCGAACTCGGGTCGTTGTAGTCACAGCGCCGGGGACGACCCTCATATATATACATCTAATAATCTATATATATATATATACATATCTGTGTATCTACATCTATCTATCTGTTTATTTATCTATCTATTGTCTATCTATCTATCAGCAGTGACGCCTTAAGAGAGCATACAAAGCGCGTATGATTCATTACACTTTTAAGAGACTTTGTAAGTCATAAACGGAACATAGAGAAGTTTCGCATTCTTATTTCGCCCATAAAAGATGTCAAGATTCATATGGTTTTACGCTGACATTTTTTTCGTAAAGGATAGTCGAGATCTAACGGATTTATTAGGATTTAGGTATTAGAGAGTATCAGCTGTTAGAACGTATATACATACACATACACACACATACACGCACTCTCTCTCTCTCTCTCTCTCTCTCTCTCTCTCTCGTCTCTCTCTCTCTCTCTCTCTCTCTCTCCTCTCTCTCTCTCTCTCTCTCTCTCACACA